TGTGTGTGTGTACACTCATGCACGCGTGAAAATGTATATGCGCGCAGCTCCTTTTGGTCGCGTCTACATCTACATTGCATGTATGCGTTAGGCGAGCTTATCGCGGCAAGCCATACTCCCTCGTCATCACTTTTGCTTTTCCACGCTTCTCCTCGTCACATAGACATTTATGCGCGCACACACACACATATATGCACGTGTATATGTGTCCGTACGTACATAATAGCACAAGTATACCATCATCGCAGCATACATTCGGATTTGGGTACGTATGAGAATCTCAATCTCGTCGATTCGCACGTACACCTAAACTATACATGGATTAGCCCGAGTATAGCCGGTTCACTATATTATACGCGCACGAGGGAGTCCGCCCGATCGCGAGGAAATTAATATCTTACTTATTGATATCGAGTTAGATGCGAGAGCGAAATTAATTACGAATCTATTCTCGAGATAGTTTACATTTCACAATTTCATGGGGAGAAAATCCCGATTTATTTTTCTCTATCGTACCGCGAATCTATCTTTAAGACGCGCGAATTTCTTACGTATTCTCGAAGCGATAAGTTGAACGATATCACTTCTATATAGTATATGCAGCAGCTGAAATATTAATCCGAATCCTGTACAATTGTTCATTCTCCAGAATCTTGTTAATTGCGTTTCTGCTGTAATCAATACTTTAAAACGCCAAATTTGACAGAAAATTTTTAAATTTTCTTCACTTTAAATTCTCAAATAAGCAAAATTCTGAATTTTGAACGATATCTACGAATTCGCCGTTGTACTGGTACATACATCACCCAAAGGTAATGGGACTTTATGCACGCGAGATATAGCTTATAAGCTATAGGAAACTGAGCGAATGCACGGAGAGACTAGACAAGAGAGCGAGAGAATGGGGAGGGAGGTGTGGAGGAGGAGCAGGAGAAGAAGGAGGAGGGTTGAGTATAAGGGTTAAGTTGTGCGGGACACCGGCTGGCTGGCTGGCTGGCCACGGCAGATAAGAACGGCGTAGATCCTTCATAGAGCCGCAGAATCCGCAGCGGCGCAGGACACCTTCAGCGGCAGCGGCAACTTAAACCGCGAGCTAGCTGCGCGCGCGTACGAGTATCTCGAGCTTATACCTTTTTTCTCGCTGCCGCTTGCACACGCGCACGAGTTATATTGCTCGCAGGTGGGTGAGTTGTGCGATATATCGTATTATATGTAAGTATACCGCCGACTGTCAAGGCGTTTGAGGGTGACCTGACTGTTATCCTCGGAGAAATGTCCAGCTCAGCTGTGGCAAAATTATAATCTAACAAATTCTTTCGATCGGGTAGTGTTATCGTGGCTATTTGTTTTTGGAGCGAAATTCAATATATTATATTCGTTTCAGGATAAAAGAAACACGCGTAATACTAATGCTGCAAAGTAAGCTGCTTAATGGCGAAAATTCCAACGGGAGTAGACGGTGCCGAACTCTAATAAAAAAGTAGCAACGAAAGGTGAGAGGGGTGGCAATCGCTAGCCATACATATACACACTGCAAGAAATAAATCAATTCCCGTTGGGCGTGCGATCTTAATAAATGCGCAAGCTCGAAAACACATACACATACACGTAAACATTTTTGCGGCGCAAGATAGAGGTGATTTCGGCATATATGTACAGGGTCTCTCTCTCTCTCTCTCTCTCCAGTACATAGTACATACACAGCTGTATTAAGCTGGGAAATGTCGTCGAAGCAGCAGAAGCAGTAGCAGCTACAGCAGCAGCAGAACTTGGCAGGCAGCTAATATCCTCTTGGTCGCGCTATCCCTCGGTCTCATCTCAATAAATTCAATGCACGATATATACTTGGGTAAATCGTACACGTAGCTACAGCGGGTCGTTGCGAGCCGTAATACCCGTTAAAGCCAGTAGGCGACCCGCGTGTTTGCGAACGATCGTCTCGCACTTACACACACACACATACACGTCTATATAATGTACTTAAACATGTATGTAATCTGCAAAGCTGCATTCACGTTTTATATGTAAAAGGAAAAAAATTTTCGCCGTAGAATTGTGAAGTCACGGGTAAAGAGAGAAAGAACTTGTAGCACACGCAACACCACCCTCGAAATCGTGACGATAATTGATGTTTTCAGGTTTACAATAAATATTTTTTTAACATTTTCGACTAATTGAATAGACGCATATATGGATTTGGATAACCGATATGAGTCAAAGATGTAAAACGATGTAATATACATTATTCACAATACCTCTTGCAGCTGACACTTTGACTTAAGAGTTATAATTTTTGGAAACTCACCTGTAACAAAAATAGAATAAATGATTAAATTTTGGTAGTATTCTAATACTATATTTACTTTAAAATAATTGATAGGTGGGGTAAGTTTTTCCACTTCGCTTAGTTGAAAAATTATTACTATTCCGATATATAGCGACACGTTGAGTATAACTGCGGTCTCAATTGATTAGTCGCTTGTGGGAAAAGTTCTAGGCAAAACGCCATCTAGTGGTTAATCATCGCAAAAGTTCATAACAATCAAAATTAGAGTATGGATATATATCATTTTTGTTCATGTTTACATTTCTAATAATGTATGTAATAATGTACAAAATTCAAAATCGGTTACTATAATTTTAATGTCTGATTTCACATCAAATCTGCAATAAATTTAAAGTTTTTTAAATAGTACGACGATACATGAGCAGTTAAATATTAAAATGACAGCTAAATTGAAAGGATAATTATTCGCGATTGTCAACCAACGATCTCACTCCACATAGAAAATTTTCGGTAAGATAAGGGATGTAGGCTATGTACAAACGCGACTCGAAAAGTAAAGATACGCGCGCGAGCTCGTGAAAAAAAAATTCCTCGTACATCTTGGTGGTCGGTAATTTCTTAGCGATCGAGGCTCAGCTCAGAGATCACGGGCACGCGCGAATTCGGCATATCAAGATACGCGCGCGCGCTCGAGAAAATCGCGCTAATATGGGCGTCCGAGGGAATATATCTCGGAATTGGGCGCCCGCGCCGCCACTGTTGGTACGCGCGCGTTAATGATGAGCTTTTCATTGAGATATTTATATGCTTTTTTTCCTCGTTGGGGAGAAGGGAATTTTCGAGCCGCGAGATAAGCCATTCCTCGCAATGATTTACCGCGGGACGGGGGTAGGAGGAGGAGGAGGTGCGCGCGAGCTTGATTCATACACCTCGCTCTCTTAGCATTCGCATTAGAGACTCTCGTCGCTCGCGCGCCATTCGATGTTATAAATATAGACCCCGAAGTGTTATAAAAAATCGATTTTCTCGGAACGGATTACCCATTGGACGCGCGTAAAGGAAATATTTTATTTCCCCATCGGTAGCCGATCTTCGCGGGCGCATTAAAATCGGCCGAGAGGGCTTCTATTATATGTAATCGGATGGGTGATCGTCGCGCACGCGGTCCTGCGACACGAGCAAAGGTACACGTATGTATAAAGTATATATATTTACGAAAATATCACAGACGCACGCAAGCCCGGGGTAGCGAATGGAGTTCGAACGAAACACACACACACACGCATAGCAGATTACACACACTTGGTGGTTATATTATAACGGCAAATCCGTATAGTGCAAAAGGTGTACGCGATAAAGAGCAGCCGGGTACGGGGCAAAAAAAAGGAGGTGGAGAAGAAGATAATACAAAACGGCGGCACACACGAACACACAGACAGGCCCCGGTGTAAAAGTTTGTGTGTGCGTGTGTATAAAAAGATTGGCTATCTATGCGCGCGAGCTTTCCGTGCTTATGTAACGTGTAGTAGTACAGCACGATAGAACTGCACTCGCACGCACGCGCACACATACACACAGATTGTCTCGTTTCGAGCGTCGTAGTCTCGTCTCATGGCGACTATCCTCTCTCTCTCTCTCTCTCTCCCACTCGTTCCTTTTATCTATCTGCTCTTTACTCTTTTTCTATCTTTTGCCCTCTCTCTCTCGTGCGCGCGGCACAGGGCAGCGATAAAAATAATAAATCATCGCGGAGTGAAACACCTATATATACGTATATATTATACACATTATACAGGCAAGGAGGAGAGAGAGAGAGAGAGAAAGAGAAGAGGCTGCAGCGCGAGCTCGAGTCGCAGGGATAGTCGCACCGTTGAGTCGGCTCTTGGTAGTGGTAGGTAAGGAGGAAAGGGCGAGCATGAGCGCATGCATTTGCCGATTTCGCGCGGCTGCTGCTGCTGTGGTGTCTTCGGCCCGATACGGAAATGGGCGCGCGTAGTGGAGAGATACGTATAGCAGTACTGCTGCCAAAGGGATGCTTCTCTGCTTCTCTGCCGCGCTGCTGCGCTGCTGCTGCATGCGGCGCTCACTCGGTGGTATCTTTGCTCGCACCAAGACCCGATTAATAACGAGCAGTCGTTACTCCCCGAGAGCAAGAGAGAGAGAGAGAGAGTAAGACAGATAAGGAAGTGCTGCGTTGCTCTAGCTCTCGCACACATTCCTGCAAGGTGAGCTGCGCCACTGGCCTATCTACGTTTTTTTTTCTCTCTTTCTCTCTCTCGTTCTTTTCTCCGATCTCACTCTCCGTCCTCCCTCGACTTTTGTATACCCTCAGCGACTTGCGAACAAGAGACCGAGACGGAGAGAGAGAGAGATGTACTTTGTTGAGCTTTTTGCGTCCCGAGCTCGATTGATATCGCTTACTTGCAGATATTATACGGCGCTGCAGCGCGAGGCCAAGATTAATTCGCTGAATGCGGCAATTATTTTCCTACGTATATAAGATCGAGAGGCGATCGCTGAATTATGCGGGCGCAGCGAATTTGCGGCTGAAAATGCCTCCGGAAGATTTAACATAATGTGTAGCGTCGACACTTTCTTCCGAGGCAGCGCTCGAGTCGCGCGAGATACAAATAATCATAATCGGATGAATCCGTATCGCGCTTTGTTTTGAGTGATCATCGAATTATGTTATTCTAACAACAGACATCGCTGATCGGTTTAGTAAACAAGCATGGAATTTAGTTCGAGCGAGTTTGACATTTAACGCTGGTACAGTTAGACTTCAACTCGGCAAGATGAATTCTACGTTCAATTTGGTCGATAGGTAATTATCACGAAGCATTAAAGGTATGAAAACATCGTCGCATAAGTCTTATCGGACCTTAATCTCGTTTCAGAACGCAAGATGTTTTCAACTATGCGATGCTCGATAAAATTTATTTTGATGTAATTGATGAGGAAGAGTTCGAAAACGTTCAGTTTTCCGAATTTCGGCTAGAAAATCCGGTAAGTTCGATTCAATTTTACATGTATGCGATTTATACAGTACCATTTTTTTCACATAATTGTCAAATAACTTAAACTTTTGTTCCAGATCTACGTGCCGCGAGAACGCGACGAAAGTCACGAAAATAGACCGAACGACACATCGTCGATCAATCGATTTTCATTCACACGAAAACTCAATCTTCGAAACCACATCAGCGAGGCGCACGAAGATATCAAACATACGTGTGGCACGTGCCAAAAATCATTCGCCAAAAAGTGTCTACTCAGAATCCACATCGATACGGCACACAAGAACATCAGCTACGCTTGTGATGCGTGCGGAAAAAAATTCTCAACGAAAAGAAGTCTCAAGACTCACATCGATGCTGTGTACAACGATGAACCATATCTATGTGTTATATGCGTCGAGACATTCGTCAACAGGCGCAGTCTGAAAGCTCACCTCGATACGAGGCACAGTGGTGACGTGCGCGCGTGTGACATATGCGGGGAGATGTACACAAGAAACGATCTCCACGTACACGATCTCCGAGTCCACGTCGATCGAGTGCGTCAAGTACGGAGTACAACCCACTCGTGTGATAAATGCAGAAAGTCATTTTCACAAAAAGGTAATCTCATAAAGCACATCAAGACTGTGCACAATCGTGTCACATATGAATGTCATATATGCGGAAAGTCATTTCCACAAAAAGGTAATCTCAAAAGCCACATCAATTCTGTGCATAATAACATTCATTATACATGTGATACTTGCGGAAAATCATTTTCACAAAAAGGTAATCTCACAAACCACGTCAAGTCTGTGCACAACCGTTTCGCACATGAATGTCATATATGCGAAAAGAAGTTCTCAACGAAGAGTTATATCAAAACTCACATCAATTTGGTTCATCTCGCACTAAGAATCTCTTATTCGTGTGATATGTGCGGACGTAAATATTCATTCAAGAGTAGTCTTAAAAAGCACATCGATTCAATGCACTATGATAGCAGACGCACTCGTGCCATTTCTGAAAAGACATTCGGAAAATGATTTGCTAAATCACGCTTGCTAAACATTTAGTGAACAGAGCTCAGAGGGCTCATATCAGTTGAAGGAAAAACAACTAAAAATTTACATATGGAGTCCCAAACTTAATATACCAATGGTATACACGAAAAAAAAAGATCGTGTTGTGCACTGCAAGCTGTTCAAGTTACAAAAAATCATTCAGTTACGCTAACTAACATTTTTGGTTACAGTAACAATTAGCAAATTTTGTCACAGAAAAATAAGTATTTTATATTTTTACCATAATATACTCAGCAATAAGATATTATGGTATACTGTTTTTACCATAAAATATTATAAATTGCTGTAACAAAATAAGCTTTTTGTTACCGTAATTTTTTTCCGTGTACATCGTGCAATGTACGCTTTGATAAATGTAAAATTAATGTTAAATTATTATAATTTTCAAATAGTCAATTTTTTTACTTAAATTTTTTTTATGTAAACATATGTTAAGAAATATTTGATATTGAAACTTTTTATCATAAATTGTTTACAAAAAATTTGCGTTTTATTTTTTGAGTGATAAAATTTTCGCCTTGGTATCGTGCCCGCTCTCCTCTTCATATACGATACAAAATGTTTTTTTAGGAACCAAACCAAAAATTTTGAACATTTATTCAACGAGTTATAGGTCTATTTTATTATTTATATATGAGTCTTGTTTTGTCAGTTGAAGAGTAAACACACGCTCGATCGTGCTGTCTCAGTCAATGTCCAGTTTTCAATTATAGCGAAACGGCGTTTAGTGGCGAATATATCAGTGGTTGACTATAGAGAAAAAAAACCTTTAGAGGACTATTAACGATGATAGCTCGTACATCCGCAAAACAAAACTTGTGCTCCTGCACGAGTAGTAATCCGGACGAAAAAAGTACGAGAGAAAATCTACATCCAGCGGATACAACTTACGACGCGAGCGAATCGACCACCGAGCCCATCAACGTAAATAATAACAGCGTAGCGTCGGGTCCTGAAGTAGCTGTTGAATCAGAGCAGTACCAATGGCCTACCATCGACCAAGCCATCGTCATTGACGCGATCGAAAACGTCCCGGTCGTGCAGTAATCTCTATGCCCTTGGCGAACTCATCGCTCCAATCGATATAACTCACATATCGAGAATCTCCAGGGGTCGAGTATGCGTTTACGTGAGAAGCATCGCTATAGCCGAGAAGTCGTGCAACGAAATAGGCACGATTACCATAGCCGAAGCGACGCGCTCCATTCGTCCTTTCCGCTCCCGCAGCTCTCGTAATTCTCGCGCCGAGAAGACCGCTAGGGAAGCGACTCCTCTCGAAAGCGCATCAGCTGGATACGATTGGAAAATACACAGGCGGAAAAGAAAAAAGAAGAGAAAAGTACCGAGGCAGAGGAAGGACGGAAGGCCCGAATTGACTCTCCACTGAAGTCCCTCACTCGTGTAACTAAGAAGAAAATTGTCTCTCCTTTGATGATCAGCTTGCCTCGGTCAAGGAGTGCTGGAATGTTTACGTATACCCTATGTGTTAGTTTCCTACGATATTTGTGTGTTTTTTATTGTTTTCATTTTATTTTGTATTCTACATCTTTTTTATGATAATAATGTTGTTACATTGTTTTGTTAATAAATACAGTGCACGCATACTCCTCGTTGGATGTAATGCACTTTAACATAAATAAATTTCTATCTATAACGCGTAATTGTTCTCGCACTCTCTGGCCTCCAAGTATCGAGAAAAAGAAGACCCAGATAAAAAACAGCTGCGGCGGCAGCTTATCGCTCGCCCATACAATACACAAGCAAAAGGTACAGAAGGCGGCATCGCTCTAGGGAAGATTTCCCTGGAGTCTTTTGCAAGTTCAAAATTCATCGAGAGACACAGTGTATATATAGTGTAAAGCGCGCGCGAGAAGCTACAGGCTGCACGCGCGTAGATGCGAAGACCAAAGCTCGAGAGCTACCGATATATAGATATAAGTGTGTGTGTGTGTGTGTGTGTGTGTGTGTGGGCCTTCAACAGAGCAGCAGAAGCGGTGGTGGCAGCAGCAGTGGCAGGAATACATCGAGCAAGCGCAGCTGAAATAGGGAATGAATCGTAAAGCTGTCTGAAAGGTGCGAGCTTATCGCCAAGCACACGCGCGCGGCTGTCCTTTCGCAGCAGGCATAGAGCTCGCGCGCTTCACCTCTCTCTCTCTCTTATAACCGGTGTCTCTCCTCCTACCCTCCTCTACTTTGCCTTCTCATGATCTCTCTCTCTCTCTCACTCGTTGACGGAGCTACTTACGCGTATAACTGCAATGCTGTTGTGTTGCCTACTTCGCAGTTACTGTGCTTAAAACTCCGCCATTTGACTAGTTTAAATACGAGGAGCAGATTTTCTCGGATTTCGAAAAAAAAAAAAATCTTTGTAAGTATGGACAAGTTGCAAAGCTTCATAAGATATATTTTCACAATACAGAATTTGTGATAACATTTTCATATAGAAATGAGATAAAAGCCCGATGGTGTACTGATCGTCCAGTCTCGATGCAGCTTGCGGCTATTTATTGACAGTTGAAAGCTTCAGCTTTGAAAGCGTCCCACAACACCACCTTTGCTCGGAAAATAAATATTAGTACACGGTACAAAACACATCGATGTACGAGCGCGTATTTATATTTACGTTTTGAAAACTCTTTGGAATAAAAGCGGCGCTCGGTGAAATCCGATTCATCGATCTCAGGACACGGATTATAACGCGGAGGCATCCCCCCTCTCCTCTCTTTTCTCCCGCGAGAGAATGGAAATCCATACAGTCGACTTAATATTGAATGTTTTATCAATATATAACCACAACTAGTTAACGAACGGTGAATAGACCTCTAACACTGCCGATTCACCTGCTGCTGTCTGGCGTGTGATATTACACAAAGTCGACCCTCCTGAACTATATCAACGTGTACGTGCTGCTGCTGCTGCTGCTGATGCATTATTGTCCTTTTTTCCCTATTGAATTTTCATTCACTCTTCTCTTTCTCCAGTACAGTGTGTACGTGTGCAAACGCCCATACACACACTAACGTACACAACAGCCGCGGTATATATCGCGTCGAGACAGCTTTGTTTTGTGCGAAACTTTTTATACGTATTGCGCGCCTCGTGCAAGCGTCGGGCCACAATGCTCGAGAGAGAGAGAAAGTGCAGATAAACTGCCAATCGCTGCATACCACTCAACAATTGTCCAATACGTGTCATTTCAATTGATCGTTAATACAACTGCAGCTTCATTTATGCGAATCCCATATTTCTTTGTGCTGTATAGCTGCGCTCACGTGTGCTACGTGCTGGTGCAGTTGCAGATGTGGTTCGAAGGAATAGTATGAATTGCACGTCAGATGTAAAATTTATATAGGTATCGAGCACAGAAATGAACAATTTTATATTTTAAAATATTTCCGTTCGTTAAAAAAAAAAAAAAAATAATCGAGAACGCACCACGCGCATTGCATATAGTTGAGAACAGGTGCGATGCCTGGCAGCGATATGGGTGTGAGCCTTTCCGCACGTGCATATATAATGCATGATGTATATGAAATTGAAAATTATTACTCTAACGAGATTATTAGCCACGACGAGACTGCAGGCGAGAGAAAATATTTTCTATAATAAATTTCTCTCTCTCTCTCCGCATATTATAAAAAAAAAATAAATATATATAGGGGCACGATTGTAAAACGGTGAATGTGCGAGCTCGCACATTATAGAATTGGTGCGTGCGGGTATACAATACAAACACGCATTGCACATATACATACACTCACACTCGTGTGCGCATACGCCACACGTATCTGTAGGAGACAAAGCGATCGCTGTACAAATTCGCAAAAACACATCTGCTTCGGGTAATCAGTTCAAGTCATCGCCGAGTGCCGAGCGCGGCTGCAGTATGTGCGCTTCTTTTAGCCGCAGCAGCAGCAGCTCCTCTCACGTTCGCGCACTGTACGCGATATCGGCCGCGCATCATGGGTTCCAGGCCCTCGTACATATATATGTGTATACACACAGACACACAGACACACATCGACATATATATGCGAACTGCACAGCAGACAGAGAGAGAGAGAGAGAGCCCGAAGTCCCCGAAGATGCGATCGGCCGGAAAGAAGGTAAACTTGTGTGTGTGTGTATGCTGCTGCTGCCTGGGCCCGAATCACGCATCGCGTGGGAGGCTTGCGAAATCGAGATTCTCGCGCGATACACACCTTCTCGCTCTTTCTCCCTCTCTCTCTCTCACTCACTGCTTTACTATCTTTCTCTTGTGCCAAGTGATCGAGGAGAGCGAGGAAAGGATGGCCCTTGGTCATGTATATATACGTATATATAGCGATCGAAAGCAGCAGCAGCGCGAAAGATTCGTCGTCTCGTCTGCGCCGTTGTGCTCCGTTGAGTCGATGGTATAGGTGCATATACGTATAGAAAAAAACTCTTTATAACAATATCGCTCTTGGCTTATCGCGCGGAATTGGCCGGCGCTGCGCATGTGGCTATATAGTATGCTGCTGCTGCCGCTGCTGCTGCCTCACGGCTTACTTCTCGGCCTTATAATATGATTTGTTTACTCTCGGACACGAGTATCGAACGATATAAACCGCGCCCACCCTATCATCCCCCTCGTAATCTCGAACTCTGACCCCTCTTGGCTAATTGTTGTTGGCTCTAGATCAAAGATAACCGCGCGCGCGAGCGAGCGAGCGATGCAGCTCTCTTTTTCTCTCTCTCTCTTCTCCTCTCTTAACTCGTTTGGCTCGTTCCGTTCATCGCTCGGGTATTGCTGCTGCCGTTGCTGTTGCTGCTTCTCTTCTCGTATCGAGAGATGCATATTGGCAATCAGGTTACGCCTACCGCATATTGACGTGGCGAAGAGTACGTACGCGACGGACGTCGACTGCTCTCTCTCTCTCTCTCTCGCTCTCCACGAGTTTGCGATCTTCTGTTCGATCGACCTGTGCACACGGGCGTATTTATACACGTATGCAGTATTATGTGTACCGAAAAACCACAGCTGTTTCGACGACGTGCCGATGTAGTCTCGCAATGTCGAAAGAGAGAATATTAGCCTATGCGCTCGCGATCGCAACCTTATCCGCGCGCGCGCGCGCTGGGCCCGGCCCGGATGCAGTCACTTATTGCTAAATTTCGAATTAGCCTCTTTTTGCCCTACGCGCGAGCGAATCAGTGCATCGTACGTATTTCCGCCGAACTGCATCGCGATACGCGTGTGCACATATAGCCTAATAATCCGGCGGGCCTCGTGAAATTTCATCTTTACCGGCTAATAATTATGCACATTTTAGATGCAGACGCTGATATAACGATATAATTCGTTTTGTATGAAACA